GTCCTTTTTTGATCTTCTGCCATTTCGGTGTTAATTTAAAGGCTAAAAGTATAATTTGACAACAACATTATGTCCAGTGACGTGTTCTGATATTGGTTAAGCGGATAACACAAAAATAATGACTATGATTGTGGGCAAGGATTCCAACGAAAGACCACATTTGTAGACTATGGTTGTAGTAGAAAACGACTATAATTCACAAACGACTCAAACGGAACAATCTTTAGAATTGTGTATGATAAAAAAGATATATTATCATGGTCAAATTACACTTTTAGCCCTCAAATTAACACCAACATGATAGAAGATAAAAAAGGACTATTTGTGAAAAGATACTTATAAAAAAAGACCACTAGGATAGTATTTGATAATAGAGGACTAAATAGGGAAACCCCGGCCCCCTGTTATAAAGGACTAATTATGGAATTTACTCTAAATTTAATATCAATATATTTCTAATGAATCATAATTTTGAAATATCAAAATTTTATAAAATATACATATGTATAAGTATAGTTATTAAGGGTCAAAATGTAGCATTGGAAATCGTGACAAGTCAAATGAGAAGAAAATTTCCGGATAGAGGCAGTATATAAAGTTTTAATAATTTTTTTCTTTTGATTTTGACATCAGATTTATTTTGATTTTTCAACTTTTTAATTTCAATTTTTTTTATTTTAATCTTTTTACATATAATATTGAAATATCTTTCAAGAAAACTAATTTTAAAAAAATTAGTTTTTCTAACAGCCAAGTCCAAAAGATACTCTCTTTGGCTTTCCGAATTTTGACTTTTCTGATCAAACCGCCAAGTGAAAAAGCCATTATTCAAACACCGATTTTAGTTGTTCAATTAGTGAGATAACACTTTTTAAACTATTAGGTCTTCTATGTGACACTTTAACCATTAATATGCATGTATGTATGTATGTGTGTGTGTATATAATTAATAAATTTTATAAAACAATATGATATTTCAAAATTATAATTAAAAACAAATCAAATAATTTAAATTTATATTATTATTCAACATATTGTTTTTTAAATTTCATGGTCAAAGTTTTTAATTTTGATCCTAAAAAATCGAATTAAAACTTTTTTAGAACGGAATGATTGATTCAATTTAAGAACAATATTTTTAAATGACATTAGCATGTGTAGATGAGTTAAATTAAATAAAGATAAAGAGATAGGGCCATTATGCAATTTTAAAAGTTAAAATGATGTGGCTAAAAAGTCCACATGGAAGCAATTTAGTGGGAGGGCATCCATGCCCCTTCATTATGAAAGGCACCGGAGAAATTCCCTAATTATGAACGTTGTATGGGAACAAAAGAAAACGTTAAATTGGAAGCAATTTAGTGGGAGGGCATCCATGCCCCTTCATTAGCAAAGGCACCGGAGAAATTCCCTCATAATTATTGTTCACAGTTTAGATAATAAAAAGTATTAAAATATTTTCTATTTAACTGTAATTTAATATGTATTTTTTTATAAAAGATTATTTAGAAAATACATTTTAATTATAAAAGACAATTTTAGTAATTTTTGCTTATTGAGAATAACTTTGGGAAAAAAATTTATTAGAAAAGACCATTTAAAAAATTTATTCAAAATATTTTGTCATATTTGGTGAAAAAGACTATTTGTTAAATAATTTTCAAATATTGAGGATTGTTTATAAAATATCTTATAATCGGGAACAAAATATGGAAAATTATATACAATTGAGGAATATTTATAATATTTACTTTTATTTAATTGATGATCAAAGTTACCCAATTTATCTAGAAAAAAATTAAACTCAATGATTATATAAGGACAAAGTACTCTATTTCTTGATTTGAATTCATCAAAAGTTCACAAATAGAAAGTTAATATGTTTAATAAAATTACCAACAAATAAAAGTAAATGAAATACTTTATCTCACCCATATCTTACTTTTTATTTGACTTTTCACGATCTTCGAAATAAAACTTTAACCATTAATATCTATATTACTCCCTCCGTCTCTAAATAAACTTCCTTTTTTGACTTTTTAAGGATTTAAGGGAGGGATACTTTTGTGTTGACTTTGCAAAAATATTCTTGATGTGATGTCTAGAAGTAAGATGTGATATGTAAATTATTAGTAAAAAGGTATGATGTGATAGGTAGGGTATGAAAAAGTAAGGGGTAAAAGGGGTTTTTTAAGGGAAAAGAGACGTTTTTTTGGGACAAAGAAAAAACGAAAGGGGAAGTTTATTTACGGACGGAGGGAGAATTATATAAATATAAAATATAAAAGCTTGATATGTCAAAACGACATTTCGAAATGAATGGATTGATATTAAATTTACATAGTATTATATATTATAATTTAATATATATTTTTACAACATATAGCCAAAGAAATGAAGACCGCAAAAGTTAAAATAGAAAGAAAGCCATGAGACTGAGACTCTGAGAGAGTATATAATTGGAACATGATGAATATCCGGGACCAATGACCAACCTTGTCGTCGAGCGACATCATTGTGGCTCTTTCAAATTAGAAGTCGTAAGTTTTGAACACCACTTAGGGCGATGTTGGTTCTTTGCTCCGAGTACATTGAGAAATTATATTTCAACAAATACTAAGTACATAGTAACATTTCTATACTCCTCTCGTCTAAAATAAATTCTTATTTTCTTTTTCGAACGTCTGAAAAAGCTTCATCTTTCTTTTTATAAAAAACTTTGAATGACTCATATAATCTCTCTTTTCTCTACATTTCTTTCAAGTTTCAACTACACATTTTATTTTCTCTAAATTTTGTATCAAGTCAAATTGAGAATCTTTTTTGAGGTGAAAGGACTAATTAATAGTATTCAAAAATAACCTTTGACCAAAGAAAGAAGACTGTCTCTATAAGAAGGATTCGGATTTGATGCATATGATCAAAATCAATCAAAGCATTCTTTTTCTAATCCAACAATTAAAAAATAAGTAAAGATTGATTAATGAAAATGAAGTAGCTAGCTAGAACAAACCTTGTTGGTGAAGGAGACAATATCACCAAGAGAGTTGACTTTGTTGAACATGAGCCTAAGATAAGCTGGGCTGTCTCGATCTTCCTCATCAATCTCATAAACATTAAATTCTTGAACTTTCACTGCATAATTTTCCAATTTTATTTTTTAATGGAATGATAGATTAACAACAAAAAGATTGTTGAATAATATCATACTCCCTCCCTCTCCAGCAGATTGTGCATTACTTTCTCCATCTTAAAATATTCATCCAGATTAATTGTTTTGAATCAAACTAGATAAATTTAATCATCAATTACATAAATACTACACTATATAAATGTAATAAAATGGTTTTTTTACAATACTAATAAATAGTTATTTAATTGATGATTAAAAAAATTGACTACAAAAAATCAAACTTGACAAATATTATAAGATGGAGTCCATATAAAATTTGCCAATTTAAAAATATGTTTCAAATGAATTGAATCTAGAGACATAATTTTCATTACTTTATCCACAAATCATAATTATAATACATAAGAGTAATTTCCAATAAATGTCTTCTATAATTTTCCATATACTCCCTCCGTCCCATGAAACATGGGACTTTTGCTTTTTAGGAGGGATTTAAGGGGAGTGTATTTTGGCATTGAATTTCCAAAAATGTCCTTTGATGTGATGTGTAAAAGTATGATTTGATGGATACATTGTTAGGAATAAGGTATGATGTGATATTTAGGGTATGAAAAAGTAAGGGATAAAAGTAATTTTTTAATAGAAATGAGAAGTGTTTTGTGGGACGAATAAAAAAGGAAAGGAGAAAGGTTTCATGGGACGGAGGGAGTATATAATATCAACGTTGCAAAAATATTATATTCGTAGTTCTTTATTAATGGAAGAGTATTTTCAAATATATATTTTCCACATATAATTTCAAAAACAAATATAGTGCCCGGGAAGTAATTGAGCTTGTTCGGAGTGGAGTGTGATATGAGATTTTGGCACGTACTAGCGGCAGTCACACACTCTCATTTATAGCTTCATTTAACTCTTTTCAGCGTATTATCTAAACTGTACTCCATGTATCTTAAATTAAAATTTCTAGTTGCTATTCACGGGTCAAACGAACTTTAGTTTCCTTATACATTTTCATTGCACATTTGATCAAACAAAATAATCTTGTCAAATGTCACCAATTATTTTGTAGAACTTGTGATGTAGCTTTTTAATATATATAATTAATATTTTTAAATTCTACACCAATTTTTATTTATATTGATTTGAATATAACTTCAATCAAACATTATAAATATAACATGGGGTATAATTTTTTAAAAATAGCAAAACACAATGAGAAAGTAACCAATAACAAAAAAAAATCAAACCGGATGGGAGATTGGGCCGGCGGTGGAGTTGGGTCCGGAGGCCGAGTGACCCTTTGACGGCTGGAGTCGCCGCCGAAGCGGCGGTAGGCGGGAAGCGTAAGAGGGTTCTGCTTGCTCCAAGTGGCTGCAATTTCGGAAGCTTAACGCCGGAAAAAATGAGAGGCGGGTTAGAGGCGGCCGATAATAATAATGAAACCATACTGATCGATCGAAACGGTGGAATATATAATACTTAAAAATAATGTGTGGATCAATTTAAATGAAATAGTAAAGAAATGGGAATTTATGGAGTTTGGGTGAAGTGAAAAATACAATGAAAAGTCTCTTTGAAATGATGTTGTGATTTGTTTAGTATTCCTATGACTTTCAAATCTTATTGTAACACGTACGTACGGAGTGTTGCTTAATGGCTAATGGCTTGCTCGCTTAAGTACTCCATAAATTAATTAATTAGCTAATGTTTTGACTCTTTGTTTTTTTTTGTGTGAGTGCATTAGGAGTAAAGGAAGAGACATAATTTAGTTAATTAAGGGAGGGAGAGTAGTAGTATAGATGAGAAGAAATGAGAGAATCATATACTCCCTCCGTCCCAAAATATAAGCAACATTACGCTAAACGAAGTAATTTTTTGAATTTTTTCAATCCATTTTATTTAAAGAATGGTCTACAAATGAAAAATAAAACTTACATATTTAAAAACTACGTCAAAAGTTCTACAAAACAAGTGGTGACAAGAATATTTTATTCTATCAAATAATCAATGAAAATGCAAAAATAAATAAAAGTTCCTGGGATTTTTAAATAGTGGAGTGTTGCTTATATTTTGGGACGGAGGGAGTATTGTTTTGACTTTTGATTGCATATTTTATTCAAAGACCAATTCAATATCAATAACATGCATTACACAAACATTAAATAAATAAGTTTTCCTTATCTATTACCCTTCTCTTACAATATTATAATAAAGTCAATTCATAATCATATATCCAAAAAGGTAGCAGTTGTTCTTGAAAAAATCTCACACGTGACATCCGTCTTAGAAAATGTTTCCAATATTGACTAAAATGGAAACTAGTATTCGGGAGAATTTCTCTTGTATTTATGATATTCACAATATGAAAATAAGGTTGTATATATAAGATCTCACAGGCTAGGAACTCTAAATGAAAAATAAATACATAAGGAAAGAAAATCAATATACATCAGGAAACTACCATAATAATATATATAGAGAATATATGGAAATATATTCTTCCTTTAACACCCCGTTAAGTTGGAGAATGCAAAAGTGAAATGCCTAACTTGGGAATAAGAAACTCCACACGAGATTTTTCCAATGTCTTTCTATGAATATTTGCAAGCTGATGCGTAGTAGGCACATGATGCATACAAATCACAACACGAAGAAGCTCATCGCGAACAAAATGACCGTCGATCTCAGTATGCTTTGTACGCTCGTGAAAAATTGAATTAGCGGCAATATGAAGTGACGCTGTACTGTCACAATGGATGGTCATGGGATGACCGTGCAAGACTCTCAGACAGCGCACAAGATTCTTCAACCACTTCAACTCACTAGTAATTGCAGCAAGAGCTCGATACTCAGCTTCAGCAGATGAACGAGCAACTGTCGTTTGCTTCTTTGTTTCCAAGAAACGGGTGAATTTCTGAGTTGAACAAACCACCCAGTCAAAGACCGTCTCGTCAAAGGCTAGGGCATGCATCCCAATCAGAATCACACCAACTTGTAAGATGTAAATTATTATCCTTAGAGAGGAGAATACCCCATCCTGGACACCCTTTCAAGTACTGAACAACACCAAGGGTAGTAGTCCACTGATCCTCTCTTGGTTCTTTCAAAAATTGTGCCAAAGTTTGCACTGCATAAAATAGCTCTCGTCGAGTAACAGATAAATAAACTAGGCGCCTTACTAGACGTCGATAAGGTTCGGGATCCACAAGAACCGGAGCTTAGGAATGAGCGAAATGATGATTTGACTCCATTAGTGTGCCTAACGGTTTGGCACCCAGCAGACTGGCCTCAGTGATAATGTCTAAGGCATACTTCCGTTGGCAAAGGAAAATCCCAGATGGGCTTCGAGCCACTTCAATGCCAAGGAAAAACTTCAAAGTTCCAGAGTCCTTAATATAGAAGAAGTCAGCCAAATATAATTTGAATTTGGCTATCATGTTCGCATTTTCTCTAGCAATGATTAGATCATCAACATATATCAAAACATGTATCCCTCCCTTCGTTTTAACAAAAGAAAATATGGAGTACTCAGAGATGGACTGGACAAACTCATAGCGTCTCAATGCTCCAGACAGTTTGGCAAACCAACATCATGGTGCGTGTTTCAATCCATACAAAGATTTCTTGAGTATGCACACCACATCAAAAGAGTTTGAAAAACCTGGTGGCAATCTCATATAGACCTCATCTTGAAGATCTCCATGCAAAAATGCATTGTGAACGTCCATTTGATGTAACTCCCACCCCTTGGCAACTGTAACAGCTAAAAGTATCTGTATAGTAGTTAACTTGACCACCAGGGCAAACCTCTCGTTATAATCGAGACCTTCGACCTGATGATTGCCACGTATGACCAACCTAGCCTTGTACCACTCCACGCTCCCATCAGACTTGCGTTTAATTTTATACACCCATTTGCAACCAAAGGGGCTTTTTATGACAAGGAGGAGGAACAAGAGATCATGTGCCTTTAGCCTCTAATGTATCAATCTTTTCCCGCATAGCTTTCTTCCATTGCTCATCTTAGAATGCTTTCTTGAATCTTTTAGGCTCAACTTCTGTATCAAGCGGTGTGAGAAAATACTTGTGTTTGTTGGAGAATCTCTTGTAGGCAATGTATGACGAGAGTGGTATTTGCATTTTTGTCCAACTAACGTACCAGCAACATGCGTAACATAATCTGCAAGTCTCACGTTTGGGTGTTTCTCACGTCGTCCTCGCCCCAAAACTTCCTTAGTGGGCTGTGACGGTGACGGTCGACCGCCATCCATGGAACGGTCCATGGTGTCGATCATCTGTAGCTCTGTTGGTTCTTCTTCATTCTGCCTTGTGAACGGTCAACTGTCTTCCATGTCACGGTTGACCGTTTGAAGTTCTTCTGGGACGTCTTCATTCTGCCGTATGCACGGTCGACGGTTGTCTACTGGATGGTCCAATGACTCGATCGCCTGTAGCTCCTCTAGATGCTGACACTTTGATTACTTAATAGTACAACACAATCAGGATAACAACCTACGAAAACCTCTCACATGAGGATAATGCTAGAAACAGAAACCATTGAGTTCTAATTATTTTGGGGGTTTTAGGGAAATTTAAAATTCCCTACATACTTATCCCTCCAAATTCAACAAAAAAATTACATACTTCTATTTAAACGAATGCATTGAATGCATTCATTTAAACCTTTTCCTTCCCATCTTTGCTTTGCACCATGACCGTAGACCCCCCTATAGTTGACTCTCTTTTGCATCATTTTTCTTCTACTTTCACGCCTTTTTCACCATCTTTGGACCATCTTCCTCCTGTAATTGAGGTACCTTTTGTAACACCCGCCTTCCGTGGACCCGGTTCACCGCGACCCAACGGACCGGTAGGGTTACATGGGCGGTCCGAGAACCGTCCGTAGAGAAAAATGCATTAATGACTATTTATTATGAAAACGGTTGTGTTTTAATTAATGAAATAAATGCTAGGGAGTTAACCCCATAACGTGTGTGATATAAATACAGAGTAAAAGCGGAAGTAAATAAATGAGTAAAACGACAAATGGTGAGTTCATGCCCAAATGATTAATTAATTAAATGTATTTAATTATTGAACTTGTCCATGCGCCGCCCATCTTCCCACCATCACTGTCCTCCAGGGTTAGCACCTGCACCGTCATGTCTATCTGCATGTAGCAAAAACAACTACACGCTCAGCAAAAGCTGAGGAGTGAATCTAACAAAAGAACATGAAGTGATAACCCATATGGTTATACACATATAAATACCTGTACTTAACGTACGGAAAACCACATGTTTGCTAACTTATTAATTTGCACTTGATGGGATATTATTACACATAACAAAATGAATAACAACCACATTGAATATGGACATGATGGGAATCATACATGATGATGACAACCACATTGAATGTTGACGTGACATGAAACATACATGATGACAATATGACTTGATGCATGACTTGAGCTATTAGGGACACCCCTGACTTAGTCTCACTTGACAGGATCACCCCTGCACTCCGGTAATGACCCGGGCTCGACAAAACGTCGCAAGTGAACTAGCAAAAACCGGGTGGTAGCCGTAGCCTGACTACCATGTACGTACACAAAGCCCACCTGATGAAAACCCGTTGGATCCCAAAGGTTCCTGAACGGGCCCACTGTAGTAGGCGCACGAAAGCCTGACCTCCCTACAGCAGTATGCACATGATGATGATTCTAGTACATGCGTCTAGAATGAACATGATGAATGCTTGATGTATTTACCTTTGGTCAACGCCAAGAATATATCAATTAAATAACACACATAATGAATATTAACATTTCATGCAAACACACAATCAGATTCCGAGTCAAACTGGTCAAATGGGGCTCGTTCTACAAACTGCCCGAAATCTACCCGCGGAACGGTCGACCGTACCCTACCGGCGGTCGACCGTGGGCTATGGTCTGGGGTCTGGGTCACAGACGGTCCACCGTGGTCTTTTGTCATGGAGGACGGTCGACCGTCCCGGCGGTGACCGTTGGACTGGCCGAGGGTACGGTCCACCGTCTGAAGTAACGGTCGATCGTCCCGGTGACAGTCTTCTGTCTTTGGCTACGTTTTGATCCATTTTGCAACCTTAACACCTTGATTCTTTTTAGAACAATAATACAAACATTGATGAATATATTCCTAGTGATTCCTAGGCCAATATTTATAAGTTTTACGTAGTGAACGTTTTGATGGCTAACCTACGAACATGCATAGATTCTACGTAGGTTGCGTACGATATTGCTATGAATATAACGACATAGATTATAACTAAATGTTCTAGAATTAGAGGGGACAACTACTCAC